AGGCGGCTCGACCCCTGCACTCGCCTCTGCCTCAGCGCAGATGGGGGTGACAGGGATGCCCCCCAGAGGTTCAGAAACTGCCTCTGTCGCATCAGCACCTGTGCATTGAGGCAACAGGTGAGAAACAGTCACCCAGGAGGAGGGAAGAGAAGGGAGAAGCTAGACAGAAAACAGCCCCCATTCCCCTGCCCAGCCCTGCAGCACACCACTCCCTCCCTGCATGAGGCTGCAACCTCCTCACCTGGTCCCTCAGGGCTCCCTTCCTGCTGCTGCCGCACATTCCGCTTCTGCGCAAAGTCTTGTAGCAAAGCTTCCTCGTCTGACATCTCCTCCTCCTCCTCCATCTCCTCCTTGCTCTCTGCAACACCAGGCTCCGACACATCTCCCTGACCCTCTTGTGCCTCCGGCTCCTTGGCTGGGCTGCTGGGTTTGCCCAACAGCCAGGGATTTGCTCTGCTGGCATCCGTGGGGATGGTGGGGACGGTCACCGATGTGAGGTCCTCCTCGGGCACATCATCTGGCTTCTCCTCAGGCAGCTCCACATGCACCTTCTGCATCAGCTCCTTGTTCTTGGCCAGCTGCTCCTGCATGGCCCTGCGGGCCTGGGAGGGGATCAAAAGGTTTCTGAGGCAGGCCAGAAACAACTCACCTGCCCCATCTCAGCTGCCTTCCCCTTCCCCAACCAGCACTGGAGACCTTGCCGTGGCCTTTCAATGTATAACAGTGGCTTATAAGGAAGAGAGAGATTTTATACTAAGGTCTGTAGTGACAGGACAAGGGGCAGCTGCTTTAAACTAAGAGGGCAGGTTTAGGTTAGATAAAAAGAAGAAAGAAGTTGTATGATGAGGGTGCTGAGGCGCTGGCTCAGGGTGCCCAGAGAAGCTGTGGCTGCCCCATCCCTGGCAGTGTTCAAGGCCAGGTTGGACACAGGGGCTTGGAGCAACCTGCTCTAGTGGAAGGTGTCCCTGCCCGGGACAGGGGTTGGAGCTGGCTGAGCTTTAAGGTCCTTTCCAACGCAAACCAGGCTGTGGTTCTGTGATCTCACCTCCAGGTCATATTTGGCTATAATGGCCCTGGAGCGGGCCCACTTTCCCTTGTTCTGGTGCTTAAGGCTCATCCGCTCCTGGGGGACAAAGAAGAGAGAAGCATCAGAACGAGCACCCTCATGAGCAGGGACCTCCCCTGCAGTGGGGGAGAAGCGCAAAAGCAGCACCTGCATCCTGAGCTGCTCCAGCTCCTCCAGCCTTGCCAAGGCGGCCTCAGGGTCTGACTTCTGCAGCAGCTCAAACTCCTTTAAGGCCTTGCGCCTCTTGCTTTTCTTCAGCACACGATGGTACCTGAGCACAGGGGCAGTGAGGGAGGCCTCAGGTGCCAGGGAGGCCCTGGGGATCCCGTGCTTTGGCCATACCCCCACACCAGGCAGGACTCAGCCCTCTCCAAGGGATCTTACTTCTTGCTCTTGATCTTCTTCTCTCGCCGAGCCTTAGCTTCGTAGTAGGACTGCAGGACCCGAGCCTTCTGCAGCTCTGCCCGCCGCTGCCGGGCCTGCCAGGGAGCACAGAGTGAGGGCAGGCGCCAAGGAAGAGGCCTCCAGAGCCAAGGCATGGCCGGGGGGGGGCACCCA